GGGGAAGGGAAGGGCGGGTTGTGTGTGGGGACCTGCCCGCCGGCACCGCCTTTCTTTGCGGCAGAAAGAGAACGGATAAATATCTCCGGGGCAAAACACATTAGTTAATATCCAGTTTCATTCCTCGGAGGTGACTATTCAGTGCCAGCAGTGGGGGAATAAAAGCTTCGCGGTACTTCTGCCATCTTGTGTCTGCAGTTAAAAGCGTATTAAGGAGAGCCTGAGCTTGCAGGAGTTAATTTGCCTTTTAAAATTCCGAATGGCAGGCTCTGGCTTTTTATTCATCTTCTCTCACAGCTGCTAAAATTCTTTCTTGTTAATGAAATGTGATCCACAGTCTGGTTTGGGTTTTTTTTTTATTTATTTATTTAAAAAAAACCCCAAACCAACAGTTTCAAAGAGTAGGAAAGTCAAAAATACTAAAGAGGGGCAGATTCAAAGACGACCCAAAGCTGTTTGGAAATGACTTTATGTGAATTTGTGGTGCCATCTTTTAAAATAATCTTTGACGTTATCCTTCAGTGGTGGAGCAACGGTATGGTGTGTGATCTTGTTTTCTGTATGAAAAACCTGAATTTGGAATTTCAGGTGTGGGCACCCTCAGCCACATTTACACATAAGTATTCATTCCAGCAAGTAAATTCAGCTTGGTTTGGGGTAGGGGGACACCAGTGGACATCTGTTCCACAACACTGGATTATTGTAATTCGTGAGATACTTTCTATTATTGACATACGTGTGGAAAACTGCAGAAAGCTGTTTTGTTAAACAAGTCTATACTGAATTATGGACTTGGATGCTGCTGCTGCGGGAGGTAGTAATTCTGGTAATTAGATATCTAATAAGTTAAGCAACACTAACACCATTTCTCTACCCTTATGAGGCATTTGCCCTGCATTTCAGCACGCTAATGTCCTATTAACCCTCAAAGGAAGATAATTCAGTAGAAAAAGTTGAGTCACAAGACCAAGGTTCTCCCATAGTTTCACAAATGTGGTGTTAGTATCTCTTCTTGTCAGAGATTACAATATTCAGGATGGAGTGATTGGAGTTACCTAGATATAATGGTCTAGTGTCAAGCCCTGGGTTCTGTTTTAAAGCAAATCAATAAATTAAAAAAAAACAACAAACCCACAACAAAAAACCAAACCAAAACAAACACTAAAACCACCAAACAACAAAAACCAAAACCAAATAACCCATTGTAGAGATCTGAAGGCAAGTCTGCCTGCGTGGGCATGAATAGCTCAACTTATTAAAGAAATATGTACTATTTAGGTCTGATTCCAAAGTTAGGCTGTAGTAAAATGAAATGTTACAGAACCGATGTTCAGCAGAAATCTTAACATTTATTCACTTCAAGGGAGAAAGATTTTCCTTTTTTCAAAATAAACTCCATTTTGCAGTTTGCCACTTAAACCGTGTATGTGCATATATGCATGTGCATGTAGAAAGAGTTAGTAAAAAAGGGTAATAAATCACTTACAAATAGCATCTAGCTTTTTATTTGTTGTTCAAGCAGAAGAAAAAAAAGAGGGGGGATCTAAAAAGTACACTATTTTTTTTCAGGTTTTAATGTTCTTAGACTGTTAGGGATGGCAGGTAAACATGTACCTTTAAAACATTTTCTCTTTAATGATGATGTGTTTTGAACCACGTTTGTAACAGACCAATCTCTTCTTTGTTAAAGTCAGGCCACTATTTGTTGTGATGTTTATCAAGAAATCATATCTGGGACATCTCTTTTCAGTTGGTAAAGAGAGTTAAAGAAATCCGGTAGATGAAGGAATAGCTTTTGAAATACCTGTGTTGAAAGTGAATGGAGAAAGGCATTCCAATAAATAAGTTTTTGAGACATTTAGCTTCTTAACTGAAAAAAAATGAGTCAAGAGAAGAGTAGCTAAGGGATGGGATTGACCCATCTCTGATACAGAAATTTCTTATTTTCAGTGGCTACAGGGTCAGGTTCTTTGATCTGTGTTATCTCCATCGTCAAGTAGTAAATCTCCATGTACAAACAGCAGAAACCCTCTTTATTTTTAGCAATTGCTGTCTTGTCAAACAAGGCAATGAGCTCTTGTGCCACAGTCCAAGTACAAAGTGCAAGATGTAGGGTTTTTTTCTTTTCACAGCACATCATAAAATAAAAAGTGCTCCAGATTATAGAGTTGATAAAAATTTGGTAAAGGATTTTCCTTGGCTTGCTGACTGATTGGCTTGTGCCAACACTTGTGTTCAAATCGTACTTGAAGAAAATTCATCATGGCTAAATTCTGATCTAATGACATAGCTATAAATTCAAAGTGTTTGCCTACCAATTTTCTTATAAAATAAATTTTTAGTGAATAAATGGACTGGTATTTGACCAGGGAAAAAAAAAGTCTACATATCTTTGCATTAAAGCTTGCAGCTCTGCTACGCTATGACACTATATTTCTGAGTCTAAACAGAAACAGAAAGCTTTAAGACAAAGAAGTCTTGCTGATTTAACAGAGTATTAATAAAGAAAACCATGCTTATGGAAGTTTAGTAATGAGTATTTCTTCTGAAATAAATTACCTGTGAGGTTCAGCATTTTTTAAATCTATATTTTAAAACACTTGTTTATTTAAAAATGAATGCAAATCTATTCTTATTTTAAATGCAGCCCTTTCCGACGGTATCTGACTTCTGCTTTTGATGATGGGTCACAGATTTATATTGCTTATTGAAACCTACACAACTCCCAGTTCCTGTGTAAGACAAACAGTTTACTGTTCACAAAGTCTACATATAAATTTATAGTTATCAAAGACTGCCCTCTGTTGATATGGTATCATCTTAACAGTAGTGAAGCCTGATTTTTGTTATTACATTACTTTTCTCAGGAGTTTTGTACTTAATGATGGAGTTAATTCCAGACATGCTCTTCAAATAAATAGTGAAAATGAAATAATTTTGATGATTAAATACTGGAAAAGGAGACTAAGAATGACATACATGTGTCAGGTGCTTTTAACGTTTTCCAAATAGATAGCCTGAGTATTTCATAACTTAAAAGTGTAAAAAGATTTGCCATCTCTTGCCAATGTATATTAACTATCTTGCCAAGGACGTTAAGAGAGCAGTGGGAGAGGATGGAAACAGCAAATGAGATTCATGGGAGCATTCAGACACTTACTGGATGTAAAAGCATTTTTGCTATTATAATTCAAATCTGAAGGCCACATAAAAGCAAGGTGTACAGTACCTACTGCGGGACAGAGAAAATTTTCATCATTCACTATATGAATTGGTGATTTGGTGTACAAAGACCAAAGAACAATCTTTTATAAATAGTATGCTGAAACAGTAAAATTTTGAAAATGTTAAATCAGCCAAATAAGAGAGTGTCTCAGTTCCCTGTGTGTAGCTGTACTTAACCAACAACCTTTCTGTTGCTTCTGTATTCACTTTTTCTTCTCTTGTTTCATTAATGAATTATTACACCTTGGCTATAAATTATCTGGCATAGTTTTTTGCCTGAGTATATGCAACAGTGTTGTTAAACTGTAACTTTCAGTCATCCTTTTTCTGCCAGCTATCTCAAGAGGCAGATAGCCAACTCAAGAATCCTCTCTCTTCATCCTGAGGTGTCTTCTTCACCATCCCACTCTGTAAATGTGGCATTGTCTTGAACCTGTTCTCCGTTTCTTTTATGACTTCTGTTTCAGTCCAAGTATTTGTTGCCCTGCAGGCAGAGATGCTCCTGAAGAGTCCAACACCACTAAATCTTGCATCCATAGTTTTATTTCCCTTTGCCTCAGGTAAATCTTTGTAGTGTGAAGAAACTTCAGTGGCTTCTGTCAGGATAAGGTTTCATTCCTTGACTAGTGAAACTCTGATACAGTCTGTTCTTGAAGTTGTTTTCTGTTGGTGCTGGGATGAGTGTAATGCTGGTTTCTACACTGCATGTACCTACAGTAAATGTGACCGGCATGGCCCAGCCAATATTCACTCCAAAACCCAATTCGAAATCACCCTCCATGGTTCCAAAGTTCTTAGAATTTTGTATGATGTTTCTTCTGCTGCTGCCCCAGTAATTGTTTTCACCTGCCTAGCACTGGCATCCTGCCCACTCTCTAGCGCTATTTTTACTTCAACCTTGGCTCTTTGAAAAGCTACTTTTCAAGTCAACCTTCTTCAAGTTCCTTCCCACTCATCAGAAGCAATGTGTTTTCCTTTACATTTTTTCTCCTCTGCCTTTTGATCACTCTTACTCTTTGTTTCAAAGCCAAAATGCAACTTCTTGATCTCCTATTAACAATAAGAAAAGCCTCGGTAATTTACTCGAGTAAATAAGTAGTTCCATCAATTCTCCTTACCTATGGTATATATCTTGTGTTTGGACTCTTTGAAGTTTTTTCACTGTGATTATGGAATTTATAACACTACTTTTAAATGTACTCTGACACACACACATGTTCTTTGATGTGTAACGAAGGCAACAATGAGGACAGTAGAAGCAACATACCTGTTTTCACAAAATTTTTAGGGACCTAGACTTTTTGAGTCATCTGGCCGATTTCCCCTGGATGAAATTTGTGAGTGGTTGGAAATGTTCTTGACAGGAGCTGGCCAAATGCTGTCACCAATGACAATGACAAGTTCATCTTAAGATGCAATCCAGAATAGGTCCATGTTGGTATATGTATGTAGTGTTCGACTATATGTAAATTATAATTATAACTGAAATCGTGTATCAACAAGGAGTTATTGGTAAGACATTTGTTACTTATAGGTAAATACTTAATAACTGGTAGAGGTCAATACAGTCAAATCTTGCGTGTTTATACATTTATCTGAAGCACCAATTTTTTATTTTCTTCTTTTAAACTTTAAACTGCGTCTATACCGGTTATATATTCTAATTTGTATTGCCATATTTTAATTACAGATCACTGAAATTCCAGTACAGCCAAGTGCTTATATATTTTATTAACGAATTAGGTAGGGAAACGTTCCTGACACCACTTTATTTGAAAAAAGAAAACAGAATGGAAGCTACTTAGTGGATAAGAGATGAAATCCAGGCTAAGTTATTTAATTCCTCCTGTCCCACAAATGCCCTACAAATACATAATTTCTTGTTAGGACACAGGCAACATTGGTGTTTTGGTTTTTTTGTTTTTTTTTGCTGGTAACGCATGCCTGTTGTTAGAATAAATTGTAACAGAGATTTATTTGCCTTCCTCTCTCTCCCTGTTCTTATATTTTCAGAAAGGATAAATAATGCCTTCTCAGTAAAGCTGTTTTGCACTGTGGCTTGTGTGCATTTTGGCACGTGCAATACAGGCTTTGTATTAGTGTAGCCTGTGAAAACGCCTGTGGCTGAAAGCAGGGATCACTTGGTTGGTGCTAGGGTTAAGGTTATTCAGCTGATGGTGCAATGTTCTCAGCTGGATAGAAAGTGAGAGAGAATCAAATTCTAGTTTTCATGACAGAGTTGTTTATGAGTCCACATGTTTGATTTCTATATTAAGAACTATGAGTTTAAAAAGTAGAAGTTCAAATTAATTTAATTCTAGCACAGGGGTTAAAGGTGGATGAGGTGAAACTTTTTGGAGTAGTCCATTCCTGTCTATTGACTACCGTTTAGTATCTTTGACTGGGGGTGGTGTACTGGTTGTTATGATTTAAGCATTACCCCCCTAAATAAACAAAGGAAGACATGTACATAAAGTTAATATCTTTTAATAGATTTAATAGAAATTACTGGGTAAAAATAGAAAAGCCTCTGAGCACATAAGCCTATCTTACCTTCTGGCCTGCTATAGAAACAGAGAATTAAGAATATTTGCCCCAAATTAACTTTCTTACGATAAGTCTATGAATTAACTTGAGAGAGAAGTTGGACGGTTCCTGTAGAATGAAGCCGTGCATGTTGAAATTTCCTTCAGAGGATGATCTGCCTCCATCATGGGTTAGAATGGTTAATCATTTCTGCATGTTTTGTGTTTAGCTGAACGATCAGTGGTGGGGAGAGACTGTATTGCACTAAGTACTTATATTAAGGTAGCTCATTGAAAGAGCCAATCCATTTTTCTCTAGAAGAGTAATATCAGTGGTCGGGAGGCTTTTATAACACGAGTGTGATATTGTTGTTCTCAAAATAATTGCAGCAATATCTAGATGTATGTTACTATCCTTTTTTTTTGTGTGTCTTGGGTGGCTGCTGGTCATATGGAAGGAGGTACGTTTGTGGGTGAGGAGGGTGAATTGTTGATAACAGTGCAGTAATTCTGCGGCTGATGGAGAATTATATTTAGTAATAATATTTAGAATTATTTGAATTCATCTGAGCCAAGATGTTGATTTTTGCCTGTTAACAGAACTCTTTTCTATCAACTAAATATTTTTTATACACACCTATAGTATAAACATGACATACTGCACATTTTATATAGTATACAGTCATGTTCCACAACACAGATTGTTAAACTAGGTCCAGAACTTCAGTCAAACAAGCTGTCAGGTATCCCCAAACTGAATGCTTTTAATGATTCAGGACACTATGGTATATGTCACAAACCGAAACAAATTCTTTTGAGGGATGATCCTGCCATCTCTGTGTTGACCTTGCATAACTATTAAAATTGCATATCAAAGGGTGAAGAAACTGTTGTTTAAGCACTTAAGGTGCCCTTCACTGTAATTTTCTCTCTCCTGCTTTATAAAAGAAATTTTACCTAATCTTTGTAGCTTAAGTTGTCATAACAAAACCACCCCACACAGGCAGTTTCATTGTATTATAATTCAAACAGTATCACTGCCAAATACACATTTTCCTGTGGCCATAAACTACTGGCCTTTATGTTAGACAGCCGCAGGCTGGGAAGTAAATGAGAACTAAGCCTTAAGATTGTGAAGAAGATGAAAACCAGCGTCCCCCCTCGCTTTTCATATCCAGGTAGAGATGTCAAACACTTACTATGTTTCCTTTCCCCATAGAGATTTCCCTAATTTGGCCAATGTTAACTTTACTCCTATTTTGCACACAACTGGGGTGAATACACAGGCATCTTAACCTTTTGGGTCTGATACTGTGATTTCCACTCAAACAAACCACATATTGTCTTCAAGGAGTTTTGCCAAGATAAGAATCACAGGCAGCTTAAAACACAAGAGATGAGGATTTTGTTAATGTGCAAGTCATATGGATGTAGGTGTCTGTTTCACCTGCATACCTATTAAAATTAGGCATTTGTAATGTTGCAAGTTGAACCCCAGGCACTTCTGTAAATTTGTTTCAAACTACTTCTCCTGTCTTTTACTCACGTTCAGATGAACCATCAATTAGTGTCAACATACACTATGAAATAGGAGGTATTCTGGAGCAACAACTATAAAACCTCTGGATAAAACTGATTTTACCTTACCAGTAATGCAGAAGGTGTTCATCACAGACAAAACCCAGCAGCTAACAAGTAAGAATGTCAGGTTACAGCTCATTTTAGAGGGAAGATTTTTGAAGGCATGGATAAGTACTTGATGCCTAACTTCATTTTTCAAGCAACATTAACTAGAAGTCAGACAACAGCTAGGATTTGTGTTTGGAGAAAAATATTTGCAGCACAGTCTCTCTGAGAAAGGGGACACCATGTACTCACCACAGATTTGGGACATGGCAACTGGCTGCCCTTAAACAGAACCCCAAAACTTGTGCAAGGGAGTTTCAGATTTCCGATCTCAGTATGTATGTGTAGAGTGTGAGAGACAGAATATAAGTGCCTAAGCTGAAAAGTCCTTTGGTCCATTCCCCTTTTTAACTTAAATTTTGGAGTAAAATGAGTTTGTGGCATTTCGGTAAGGAGACAGTATTTTAAATCTACATTCAATAACCTGATATGAAACTAATGTTCTGTGTCATTCATCACCCCTTTGGACATAAAAAGACTATATTCAGGCCATTTATTTTAGGTGTCTGACTTAGACCTTGCACCTTACTTGCTCCATTGACAGTATGTTAAACCGGAGTCTCTCAGCCCCAGCAGGAGGAGATTTGAATCACTTATTGCTGTCTTCATATTAGAAATGAAGAAATTTTGTCAACTGCCGGAGAGACACCACTCCATAGAGAGACTCCTCCTATAATCAGTGAAGGGAGACAGAGGTTAGAGACATCTCATCCTGTGAAAGATGTATGAGAAGTGCTCATGTCCTTCCATCCCTGCTTAAATTCCTGGCTTAGACTAGGTGCTGAACTCCCAGACTTGCAAAATTAGGTGTGATAAATGCCACTCCAGTTTATCAGGCATTCAAAAGCCTGATATTTTTAATTCTTTTAAAAATACATTTCTAAATGCACTTCCACAAGTTCTGCCATTTCATATGTACTTATATTCCTGAAGAAGCCAAATCTCTTCCTAGGCATCCACAAGCTTGCATGTGATGCAGCTCTCTTTAGTGCTCTGATATGGAACAGAATCCAAAGCGCAGGTGTTGCAGCGTGTTCAAAGGCTGGTGCTGTGACCTTTGAGATTTCCGAGCGGATTGTTTACAAGAAAGTAAAAATAGTTAAGTATCAGTTTCAAAACATTGCCCACCATTGTGATGTCCCCATATTATGTGACTTGGAAAGCCAAATTCATCCCTGACAAGTCCACTGAAATCAAAGGTGCTCCAATGGGAATATATTTGGCCAAATGGGCACAAAATAGAGAGAACAAATAGTGTTTTGCAGTAACAGTTTCTGGACCCACTTTATGACAGAACACACAACGTGCACAGCTACCTTCCCCACTTAAAAGCAGTTTGCTATAAAACTTTTTCTTAAAAAAAACTATTTGCCATTAACAGCTCAATTAGCAAACACACTCACCAAATAATGAGGGATGGGGTCAGAGGCCACCAGTATCTGACCCCCCATAAAGATTACTCATGCTACAGCATGTAAATCAGCAGCTAAGCAGGTAAATCAAGATCTCTAGCAGGGGGTACTCACCAGCATCTCGAGAGATCTTACCAGTTGCCTTAGCTAAATAAATA